TTTTTTTTTCTTGGCGGTAATTCGAGACATTTGAGCGAATTTTTTATTTTTTAAACGAGATGCAGGTTTTCATTACAAGTCTGATCTTAAAGATCACAGTATCGATTTTCCAACAGAAAAGTGTGCCGCCATGAGTACTCTCTACATGACGTTTGCGGCGCGTTCTGCAGCTTTCTCTCCGCAAAATGGACAGGCCGCGTAACAAGAAAGTAACTCACCTTTTAATTAGTCTATCGTCGCGTGCTGTATCCCACGCGACACGTCGATGCTTCATCTGTCAATTTCCAACTTCACGTAACAAAAGGCTCTCTTTATATATTTTCATTTTTGCAAATCATCTTTATCAATAATAATAGATTATGTAATCACGTACTTCTTCTTTTGGTACATTCTGATAAAAATTCCTAATTAGGGAACAATGTAATTTCTCTGAATACTTTTTTTTTTCAGTCTAACTTAGCAATTTATTGAACTGATCTAGTGCATAAATCTCATTAAATGTTGCATTGGCGCAGTCTAGAATAAAAATAACTCGTCCTTCAAGTATTGAAATAACGGACGGAGGAGCATCGTTCATTGAAATCCATCGAAGGACAAATGAAATTCTTGACTGGAGAAATGCTCCGAAGGTTTTCAAAGATTTCGCAAGAACATTCCCTGTAAAAAAATCAGCGGTGTTATCCATAGGTGCAGGTGTCCGGCCGAATATATTCGACCACGTAACGAGTCGGTGCAGGTGAAACTCAACGAAGCGCAAAATTGTATCTTCTCCGGTGTAGAGTAACACGACGGGGCTCTTTCGCAGCTAACTCGTTTCAACTTCGCCGGTTGTGCATAATAAATTTCTTTGAAGTCACGCCTTTCTCGAAATGCGCCCCGGACATCCATATTGCCTTTCATTGGCCCGATTGGAGAAGAAAAGGAAATAAATCTAAAAGATCGTATAGATGATTTGTGTAGACTTTAGACACTGAAGCTGTTACATATCAAAGAAAAACTGCTTTCAGATTGCAGTAGGAAGAATTAATTCTCGCACAGTGGGAGAGATCCGCTGGCCTACGTATAGCTTTTTCGGGAATTGTATATATACCTGCTGCTTTGACAGCCTACCTGAAACTTCTTTCTTTTATTCCGTTGCTGTTCAGGTCTACGAACAGAGTTAAAGGAAAGAAATTCCAGTTCTTCAGAATTAGCTTCGTAGACACTTTTGTTCGAATTTTCTTTTTATTAACTTATAACGACAGTAGTAGAAGAATTGTAGAATTATAGATAGTACAAAACTTAATTAAGAGGGCAAATCAATTTCCTTCGAAAAGGACCAAATCGATTCTTCGAAACTCGATAGATTCAAAAGCGAGTATAATTTTTAGATAGCCCGAAGTATCGAAAGTTGCAACGTTTGCGAGAAGTGGGAAGGTCAGTGGCCGAGGTTTGCAGAGATCGGGCACGTGCACTCGCACGTGTCTCATTCGGCATCGGCTCTTTCATATGCATGCATCAAGCCGGAAAGAATAAACGCATCCGTGCATGCGTATCCAGCATATTGTTCGTAATCCAATTTGTCACGAGACAAAGTTCCCAAAGCTCGAGGAATGAGCGTTGTTCGACGGATGAAACGTCCGTCTCTCTCCTTAGAAAGCCAAGGTCGTGTCGCCGCAATAAGTGCGCTTGCTTTTGAACACGGCAGCCTTCTTTTCATCCTCGAAAGACTTTCTCGCCCCCCACGACTCGTAACTTTTCTTTTTTCTTTCCACGACCCCCTTTTTAGGCCTACAGGTTATTCTTTGGCAAAGCTTTGCGTGTATAGCCCTCCTTTTCATCGTATCCTTAACAGTCCTTCATTCAAAGCCAAACGTTGATTAGGTATGCAATTAAAGACGTTTTTTCTTTGCATCTGTATCTCGTATGTGTTTTGATAAGAAGCTACGAATTTTTCGATCACGAGGAAATGTGGAAATCACGGAAGACGTAGAAAACAAAAGAACACGAAAATTACGGACCCCATGGACTAGGAACAGGTCAGTAACGCGATCAGAGTAACGAGAAATCGTACATCGATCGAATCGTAAGGT